CCGGCGCCGGCGGGGCGCACTGGTGCCCCGGACCCGCACGTCCCGGACCGGGGTGCGGACTCCGTGCGCGCAGACGGAACGGCGTTCAGCCGACGGCGCCTACGGGCGCTGCTCCCGGACTCGCAGAGGGACACTAAGCTGCACCCGGGTTTTGGCGATGTGCGGCCAGCTTAGAGATGGGCTTCCAAGGTCCTCGCCGAGGCCCAGCCTGCGCTGTCCTGCTGCCCTGCGGCCCAGTTACTTCGTGTGTCCCCGAACGCAAGCCTCTTTTTCGCAGAATCCCAGGTTTTAAAAAATATTTATGTCTGTGTTTATTTATTGCAGTACTGGGGACTGAGCCTGCACTGAGAGCCTTCACCCAGACCCCTGTGCCCAGCCCTTTTTGTCTCGAGATTCTCGAGAGTCACTGGGTTTCCCAGCCTGGGCTCAAATTTGGGGTCCTCCTGTCTCAGCTTCCTAGAGTGCTGGGATCCCAGACTATGTATCACCAGACTCTGCTACCATTCTGTGGCATTTGGGGAGCAGGAGGACAGGGTCTCCCCATGTACTTCAGACTGGTCTGGAGCTCAGAGTGATCCTCCTGCCTCAGCCTCCTGAGTGCTGGGATTATAGGTATGGCCATGACGCCCAGCTCTATGGCATTTAAACACTGTAACTGCCCCCACCATTCACCTCCAGACCTTTTCTGTCTTGCAGAAGTGAAATTCTGTACTCATCAAAAAGTAAACTTCCCACTCATCCTTCACTCTGTCCCCGACAACCATCCAACTTTGTTTTTTTATTTCTATTTTTTTCACACTAGACTCAAACCCAGGGCCTCACACATACCAGACAAGTGCAGTACCGCAGAACTACATCCACAACCCCACTGTCCTACTTCCTGTTGCTATGAATTTAATCTAGGTACATTTTATACATTCGTGACTGGCTCATTTCATCCACAGTAATGTCCTCAGGGTTCTTTCCTGATGTAGCCTGTGTCAGAGTTTTCTTCCTTCTGAAGACTAAATGATACTGTGTGACTAGCCAGCGTTTTGTTTACCTGTTGGTTAAATAACTTTTTGTAGACTTTATAAACAGAATTGCGTCCTTCTTGCTTTCCCCGGACCCCAGCCACCCAGCCCCACACACACTCTGACCCATTCAGACCCAGGCTCTTTTCACCGAGCCTTAGTGCAGATGAGAAGGCGCAGCCAGAGCGGCAGCCCGAGCCAGAGCCCAGGGCTCGCCAGCAGGTTGGGAGGAATGCATCAGCCGCCACTTCCGCCTGGCCTGCGGGTTGGGGACAAGGTTCGCAGAGGCCAGCACCTGTCCTGCGTGGCTGTCAGAGCCCAGGCCCTGCCGGCTGCATGCATCCGCCCTCTTCGGCATTTGCCACCCTTCTCAGTCCCACAGAACCCGAGTCCGGAGCTGGCCCACGGTTGGAAGGCGACCCCGGGCCCTGAGCCTGCCTGTGTGCCTCAGCGTCCTGTGTGCAGCGGAGTGTCCACCGTGTCCCGTGATCTTGGGAGGCTCCCTGGGTTAGCCGCTGCAGAGCGCGGTTGGGGGTGTGGGGGGAGGAGGGAGACTGGCTCAGACCTGAAATGCCCAGGGGCCTTGGAAGTCACCATGCCCGTCACCGGGTTCATCTGTGGATGAGTTTGCAGTTAGCCTGCTGGCTGGGGCGGCCCGGTGGAGGGTGCAGCCCCTCTCTGCCCTGCTGCCCTCTCTGCTGCCTGGCTGCCGGGAACTGAGCAGCTGTTTCTGCCCCAGAGCAGCTAACCATGGGCTAAACCAATCTGTGAGGCCTCAAGCCAGGGTAAACCTTAAGTCGTTAAATCCCCACCTACACGTAGCAAAACCAGCCAATTTTACCACGGAGCGTCATCTACACCTTGGTGCATTCGTATCTGGCGCCGATGATGAGACCAACATTGTGCAGGTGCAGAGGCTGTGGGGTGGGCAAGGCAGGCAGAACCTGCACCCAGCTGGGGTGTGCAGCGTCAGCAGAAGGAGTGTGGGCGGGGCTCAGCCCCTGGCAGCTCAGGGGATGTCTCTTCTGCTCTAAGCAGCACACTGCTCACATGTTCCTTGCCCAGGGTGAGCCGGAGCCTGGGGAGCCGGCCAAAGAAATGTGGAGACAGATTTGCTACTGGGCCTCCTAGGAAGGGTTGTCCAGCTGGGTGTGCTGACACATGCCT